AAACTTGACGTTTTCAAGGCACTGGAATCAGGGACAGAGTTTGGGGCTTTAGACTTCTGGCTCTGCTATTTAACATGCTGTGTGATCTTGGGCACATTACTTAATCTCTCTGATCTTCAGTTTCCTAATTTGGAAAATGTTGGAGTCCAAAGTCTCTGGCAGCTTATACAGTGAGAAGCAGTGTCCTGTGGGAGAAGGTGGAGGCAAGGAAGCTCAGAATCTCCCTGAGACAGGGAATGAGAAGACATGGGTGGGGCTGTGGCTTTATGAAGTGGAGGCAGGTCTGGAATGAAAACTTCCAGAGAGGGTGTGCCTGGCTCATACTACCCATTTAGAAAGAGTCTAGGTGGGCCAGATAGGCATGAGTGCACCCACAGTGTGAGCTGCTGTTGCCATCTAGGGGAAAGGCGGTGACCAGGAGCCCAAGCTGCTGTTGCGCTGGACCTCAGCTGAGCAGTACAGCACATTCCTGTCTCCTGCTGGTTTCCGGAGTGGAAAGGGGCGGCCAAGCCTTGCTCCAGGAGCGGGGAGGGGAGTGAAGAAAAGCAGCTGAGCACTGCCTCTGGTTTGGAAGTTATAAATAAATCCATCTGGAAGTGTTTGGGACTGTGGGAGCCTGAGGCCAGCCCCTGCAATTCAGGCCATGTGGCACATATTTCCATTCACACCAGACCCCCCCCCAATCCCAGGAGACTGTCTGATTGGTTCTGTCTGCTCCAGCCCTGGCCTGAGCTGGGCAGGAACCTCTCAGGCCCCTACTCTGCTTCCAGCACCTACCCTGACCCTTCTTTCCTCCTAGTCCAATTCCAGCATATCATGTCTGAGAAAGTGCTTTGAAAAGTTTCATGTGCTATTCAAGTATTGGTTGAATGAATGAATAAGTTTTCAATTAAGCATTTAACTGGCAGTAAGTTCCCCTTGCTAGAAAGGGGCCCCGTGGTAGTTATGTAAGGTGCTGCCTTCTTGACTTCTAGTCTCCATCTCAGGATCATCTTTACTCATTCCAGCTAAGGCTGGCTGAGGTGCAAATGTAGTGCCCAAACTTTGTTCATCTTTATATCCACAGCACCAAGGGTAGTGCTCAGCAGGTGTTGGTTCTATGAAGGGATGAGTTGATTTACTGATGTAACAAATACTCATTTCATACCATCATGTACTGCGCACTCTGCTACATGCTGGGAACACAGTAGAGAACCAAACAGACAGAGTCCCAGCCCACTGAACTTGTGGTCATGGTGTTTTCCAATGAGAGTATTATTGGCACTTGGAGTGACACAATTCTTAGTGTGGGACACTCTTGTGCATTGCAGGATATTTAAAATCCTGACTCCTGGCCCTAAGTGCCACTAGTACCCTGGAGTCATTGTGACAACCATAAATGCCTCTCCATGTTTCCAAATACTTCTTGGGGCTGGGAGGATCCAGCCCTGGCCGAAGGGCACCAGTGAGGAACTTGATAGTTGAGTGAAGGAAAGCCAACCCCAAGGTGTAAATGCGTTGAGTCCTCTAAGTCCACATATAAATTGGTACATTAGAGCTGGGAAATCATGTCTGCCCTAGAAAAATATAAAATGGTCCTTCTTTTGCTGAGTTAGGTACCAGGTGCCCGTAATGTAGCCTAGGTGCATAGTTCTCTCAAGGAGCTGGGTGAGGGCTGAGGCTCAGGCACCACCACAGCAGTCTTGGACATGCTGATGAGATGGTTACTTGGGAATATCCAGAAGGCAGGCAGAATCTGGCCCTAAAGGCAGATGACAGGCCAGATCTTAAGATATGGATTTTAAGATCTGAGTTGAGGTCCAGGGTCCATTAAGATTCTTAAGCAAGAAGGTATTGGGGAAAGATGGAGAATGAATCCAGGGTAAAGGCCAGAGCTAGAGGAGTAGGCCCCAGTGGTATCTCTTTTTTACCCATCCATTCTCACAACCCCCCACCCCAACTATCTATACCCTAGTTCAGGACTTCAGCTTGTGCCAGGACCACTGTAGCAGCCTCCTAACTGGTTTCCGTTCTCTAGTGTCTCTGCCTTCCAGAATTACTTTCTTAAAACACAGCTTTCATCATGTCCCTTTTCAACATTCACTAGGTCTGACCTCCTCAGCCGTGCATTGTAACCCCCCATAGTACCGCTTTCCGCCAACCTGGCACTCCTTGGTGAAGCTGGTACCAGATTCTCCTTTCAAGGCTCACTGTTGCTCATCTCCTAGACCTTACCATCTGGCTACACAGAGCCCCAAACACACACTGCCCTTCTCTGCCTCCTCCCCTTGGAAGAATACACTCAGGCTTCAAGGCCTAGTTCAAGTTTCTTCTCCCTCTCTCTTTTTAAAAGATTTTATTTATTTATTTTTGAGAGGGGGGAGGTAGAAAGAGAGGGAGAGAAACATCGATGTGAGGGACATCAATCGGTTACCTGTTGAACGCACCCCAAACAGGGACACAACCCATAGTCCAGGCATGTGCCCTGACCGGGAGTTGAACTGGTGACCTTTTTTGCTTTGCAGAACAATGCCCAACCAACTGAGCTACACCAGTCAGAGCAAGTCTCCTCTCTGTAAAGCTTTGCCTGACCTCTTAGAGGCAAGCAGACATTTTCCCACGTCTTTACCCTGCTCTTCAGCTCCTCATATACGCCATGGGGGCTGTCTTCCCCAGTAGACTAGGAGTTCTCTGAGGACAGTAACCATGTCTCATTTTGCTTTGTAATCCAGTTACTCAAACCAGTGTGAACAAGTGGAGAAGTGGCCTTGGGAGTGGACTGGTAGGACAGAGCAAAGAGGAAGTAGAATGGTTTCCCTCAAGCCTGACCATGGGTCCACTTGAGACACTATAACTGCTCTCTCCTCATAAGCAGTCTTCAGATGAGGGTCTGTGAAAGAGCTAGGGAAGACAAAGAAAAATATGGACAGGCAAGGCAAGAAGCAGGCAAAGAGAGCAATACAGAGATGAGAGGAGAGGCTGAAATGGTGAAAGGGGAGAAGGAAACAAAGTTCTGCATCAACAGCTTACATACAAAGGGATTCAAATAACTTGGAATGTAATCAGAACAGATTTAGTATTCTGAAAATGAAAGCAGCTGTTTAGGCAGGTCAGCTGAATGTACAGTTATTTAATAAGCATTAGTGCCCTTCAGTGCCAGGTTGTGCATGGAACCATCTCCTGTTGAGATCAAATACCAACTACCCAGGACACTCACTTAGTAAACAGCAGAAGACAGCATTAGTATGAGAGGGCTGGCAAATTCCTCAGAGAGCTCATCTTAAGAGCACCAGGGATGGTTAGAGCCCCATAGTTCCCCACACCACTAGTCCGCCTCTTGCCAAAGAAAAGTGGGCATGAGTATAAAACCAACATGTAGTGAGTGGCTCATATCCCAAAGGCCATGCAGACACCTTTTACACACACGAGATCATTTGATTGTTAATGCAACTCTGTGAGGTAGGTATTGTCCCTGTTTTACAGATTAGAAAATTGAGGTCTTGGGAGGGTTAAGAATCTGACCCAAGGGCACATAACTTGAAAGTCTTGGATCCAGGATTACAATGCAGGTCATCCCCTCCCTGGTTGGCAGCAATTTGCTCCCCATTTTTGCTGACTTTGGCTGTGGGGCTGATCTCTTTGGACTGATTTCTTTGAACATAAACAAAATACCATCAGTTTTTCCTGGCTTGGGAATGAGCCCTCAGAATCATGTGCCATTCTCCAGTTTCCAGCTGGGTGCATTTGCTGGTAGTTCATGAATATGAACCAACAGACTTTATTATGAGAATCAACAGCATGCACCCCAGAATGCTAGGGTGCCTTGGTTCCCAGGAGATACTTCAGGCTGGAGGCTTTTAGCCTATGGGGTGGAGTTTTCTAATTTCTCTTTCCTCCCAATGATCTGCCTATGGTTGTTGGTCTCCTGCTTCTCCAGGCAAGTTTATAAATCCTTATCAAAAATCATGATACCTTTGAGATGTTGTCCATACTGTGTTCTGAATGCACTTGCAACCCTTCTCTATCTGCTCAGTGGTTGATGGATGCTACCCGTCTTCTGCTAGCCTGTAAGTGGTTGTGAGCAGGGGACAGAAGGTATGGACAGGGCAGGTGCAGACAGCGTTTCCCAGAATTCTGATGTGACATGCTAAGGCCAACTAATGGAAGAGCCAATGGAGGTAGAGTGGCTGGAGTTAGATAGGGGGCAAAATGACCCCCAGCATGACCCACATAAGGTTGTGGCTTTGGGGTGGGAGAGGTTGTCTACAAAAACTTAATGCTTTTCTGGAGTTTTTCTGGAGTCAGGTATAGCCTGGAAACTTTCTGAGCTTGACCTAGAGTTGTGTGTCACACACAAGTTGTAGGGTATTAGGATCATCATGCTGCATGCAGGGCCTTCTGAAATCTTGTTAAACAACAAAATTTTCAGTGATATATACTGACAAGCAAGGTAAACTACTCTCTAGTTTGGGTTTCTGTTATTTTAATGAACAAGATTCTTCTGCACCACCTTCAAAATCTATTTGGAATCTGGCCACTTCTCACCACCTCCATTGCTACTACCCTGGTCCAACCTATCATCCTCTCTTGCCTGTCATTAATCTCCTAAAGAGATGCTATTAAAACATAGTCTTAGTATTTCAGTATTTTGCTCAACATCCTCCAATTGCTCCCATGTCACTCATATTAAAAGCCGAAGTCCTTACAGTAGCCTGCAAGGCCGTTTTAATTAGCCCTCCTTACCTTCTTGTCAATCCCTTTGTCACCTCTTCCGTTCCAGCTACATTAGTCTCTTGATTATTCTTTAGGCTTTCCAGGCACATTTATGCTTTGTGTTTGCTTTTCCTGCTACCTGAATGCTTTTCCCCATTGTGTCAGTCAGGATCTTGGGAGACAGTGATTATGAGAACTGTGGAAGGGTTACTATATGGAAAGGGCCACCTGACAGAAGCTGTGGTGAACCTGCACAGAAAGAGCTAATGAAAAAACCTCACTTTCTTTTTCCTTCTCTCTCCTTGCAGGTGCCTCCCATTGGTCAAAGCTAACCCGAAGCCAGAGGGCAAGGGAACCTGTTGATGCATTCCGCACAGGTCAGCCTCCCAGGGCACAAAGCTGGGTGAGAAGGGTGAAGAAGGTCTGGAGGGCACATGGAAAATGCCCAAAACCACTGGATAGCTTTGTAGCTGCCTGGCTCCCTCACTTTCTTCAGATCTCCACCGAAACATCTGCTCCTTCTCAGGGATGCTTTCTCTGGCACCATTTCAAAAATTTCAACCCCAAATAACCAACACTTTATATCCTCCTTCCAATGCTATGTTTTATTTCATAGCACTTAGTACCACCTAACACCTAATTTATTTATTTATCTAGCCTATCATGTGCTCTCCCACTACAATGGGAGCTCAATAAGGGCAGGGACTTTGTTTTATTCACTGGTACTATCAGTGCCTAAAATTGTACCTGGCACATAGTGCATGCTCAATAAATATATGGTGAATGAATAAATCCTCTCTTAGGCGCCACCCTAGAGTACTCTGCTCAGACACAGCTGGGTGCAGGTGTCCAATTGTTAGTCGTGCCTGCTGCTCCCTGTTTCCTCTGAAGAAGCTCAAGTGCTGCCAAGTTTTCATGGCAGAGGGTGGGGAGGCCTTTGCTGCCACCAGCATTGAAACTGGCATGACAGTTTGTCACCTTGAACCTTATAGAAATTGTTGCATTGATGAGCATGGGCTGAGCTTTGTGTGTTTTAAGTTGTAAGAAGCAGTGAGTAGATTCACAATCATAGGGATATTGGCCCTTCCAGGTGGTACTTCCATACCTCAAAGGTAATGCCAGTAGGCCCGTTTCCAGTTTAGGTAAGCCGAGGAACCACTTCCTTGAGATTCAAGGGCAAGTGGGTGTGGCCCGAGTCCCGTGGCTACAGTGGTGGTGAAACATGTACAGGTCAGGTCAGAACAAGCAAAAACAGGTTAGAATTCCTACAACACTGTAGCTGTGTCCAGGATAATGTTTTTACTATACAAGTAGCATATGAGTATATGCTCATTGTGGAAAAAAAAATTGAACAATCCAGCTACAGTTGAAATCCTCTTCTCTCCCCAACTCTACTCCCCAGAGGTAACCACTGTTATCAGCATAAAGTGCCCGCTTCCAAATATTCTTCTATGCATACATAGATTGCTTGTGTATGGGTATTTAGAAGTAAATGGGGTATCACACTGTATATGCTGATCTGTAACTTGCTTTTTTCACTTAATAATATACCTTGGAAACCTTGCCATGTTAGGACACTTGGATCTAACTCGTTCTTTTTAATTAAATTTTTATTTTGAGATAAGTGCAGCGTCACATGCAATTTAAGAAATAATACGAAGAAATCCCATATACCCTTCACCCAGTTTTCCTCAGTGGCAACCTCTTACAAAACTCTAGTACAACATCACAAGCAGGATAAGTGACATTTATACCATCAAGATACCAAAGATTTCTACCACCACAAGGATCCTTCAAGTTACCCTTTCATAGCTACACACATTTTCTCCCTACCTCCACCTTCTCCTTAACCTCTGGCACTCACTAATCTGTCTTCCTTTCTCAAAATATGTCATTTCAAAAATTTTATGTAAATAGAATCATACACTATTGTTTGTTTTCTTCTATCAGCAGGATTGCCTGGAGATTCATCTATGTTGTTGTACATATCAACAGTCTTTTCCTTTTTATTGCTGAGTGGATTTCCATGGCTTGAATGTACAGTACCACAAATAGTGTATCCAGTCCTCCTTTAAAAGACATCTGGGTTGTTTCCAGTTTTGGGGCTATTATAAATAAAGGTTCCATGAATAATCATGTAACAGATTTTATGTGGACAGACTTTTTAATTCCTCTGGGATAAATGTCCAAGAGTGCAATTGCTGGGTCATATGGTAATTGAAAGTTTATCTGTTGAAATAAGTTGCAAAGTGTTTCCAGTGTGGCCATAACCATTGTACATTGCCACCAGCACTGAATGAGGAATCCAGTTTCTCTGCATCTTCACCAGCATTTGGTGTGGTCACTTTTTTTTTTTTCATTTTAACCATTCTGGAAGGGATGTAGTGATATCTTACAGTTTTAATTTGCATGTCCCTAATGGCAAGTCATTGATCATCTTTTCATATGCTTATTTGCCATGCATATATCTTTTTCAGTGAATTGTCTGTTTGTGTCCGGTATGAGATCTAGCTTACATATCCTACTCTAAATTCCAAACATTTTTCTTTTTCTAAAAATTTTACACATAAGTTTGTTATGCAGTTTTTCAGCTTTATTGAGATATAATTGACATATAGTGTATAAATTGAAAGTGTAAAATGAGATGATTTGATACACACATATATTACAAAATGATTATTACTACAATAAGATTAGTATTTTGATGCAATTTAAGCTGATTTTTTTGTATAAGGTATATGACAGGTGGTATTAATTTCCTGAGACTGCCATAACAAATTGCCATAAACTTGGTGGCTTAAAAAACAAGGAATTTTCCCTGGCTGGTTTGGCTCAGTGATTTGAGCGCCAGCCTGCTAACCAAAGGGTTGCCAGTTCGATTCCCAGTCAGGGCACTTGCCTGGTTTGAGGGCCAGGTCCCCAGTAGGGGGCGCGCAAGAGGCAACCACACATTGATGTTTCTCTCTCTCTCTTCCTTCCTTCCCCTCTCTCTAAAAATAAATAAAAATGAAATCTAGAAAAAAACCCAGAAATTTATTCTTTCATGATTCTGGATGTCAGAAATCTGAAGCCAAGGTGTCAGCAGGTCTATGCTTCCTTAAGAGGCTCTAGGAGAGTATCCTTCCTTGCCTCTTCCAGCTTCGGGTGGCCACCACCAATCTTTGCCTTCCTTATCTTGTGTCCACATCACTGTATTGTCTGCCTCCATCTTCATATCACCTTCTCTTCTGTGTGTGTCTTCTCTGTGTGTCTACCTCACAAAGGTATTTACCATTGGATTTAGGGCCCATTAAATAATCCAGAATAATCTCCACATCTCAAAATCCTTGGCTTAATAACATATACAAATATTTGTTTTTCACTGAAGGCAATATTCACAGGTTCTGGGGATAAGGACGTGAACATCTTTTAGGGGAACCTACTATTCAATCCACTGCACAGGTCAAGGTTCTTTTTCTTTTTCTTTCTTTCTTTTTTCTTTTTTTTGGCTTATGTGTAATTGCTCCAGTACCATCTTCCACTGGGTTGCTTTTGTGCCTTTATTAAAAATCAGTTGGTCATAATTGTATGTGTCTATTTCTGGGTTCTCTACTCTGTTCCATTAATCTATGTGTCTGTATCTCCAGCAGTGCCATACCTTCTTTTAAAAAAGATTTGTGTTTATTTGTTTTTAGAGAGAGGGGAAGGAAAAGAGAGAGAGAGAGAGAGAGAGAGACATCAATGTGAGAGAGATACATCAGTCAGTTGCCTCTCGCACACCCCCAACTGCAGACTTGACCTGCAACCCATACACGTGCCCTGACCAGGAATCGAACCAGTAACCTTTTGGTTCACAGGCCAGCACTCAATCCACTGAAACACACCAGCCGGGGCAGACCATACAGTCTTGATTATTGTAACTACATAATAAGTTTTGAAATTCTATAGAATGATCCCACTTTATTCTTCTTTTTCAAAATTGTTTTGGCTATTCTAGTTCCTTTGCCTTTCCATATAAATTTTAGAATAAGCTTGTCCATATCTAAAATACCCTTCTGGAATTTTAATAGGAATTGCAATAAACCTGTATATAAATTTAGGAAGAATTGACATCTCTATTATGTTGAATCTTCTAATCTATGAACACGGTATAGTTCTCAATTTATTTAGATCTTTGAATTCTTGCATCAGCATCTTGTAGTTTTCAACATACAAATCCTATACATGTCTTGTTATATTTACACTTAAGTATTTCATTTTGAGCAATTGTAAATGGTATTGTATTTTTAATTTTGGCATTCATTTGTTCATTGCTAATATATAGAAATACAATTTCCTTGTGTATGCTTATCTTGTGTCCTGCAACCTTGCTGAACTTACTAGTTCTAGGAATTGTTTTGTAGTTCCTTGGAATCTTCTATACACACCATCATGTCATCTCCAAATGAAAACAGTTTTATTTCTTCCTATTCAATTTTGTTTTTCATTTCCTTTTCTTGCTTGAAAGTACTGGCTAGACCTTCCAACGTTATGGTCAATTAGAGTGATAAGGGCAGACATCCTTGCCTTGTTCCTAGTCTGACAAGGAAAGCATTCAGTCTTTCACCATTATGTTTAGTGTTAACTCTAAGTTTTTTTTCAATATATGATCTTTTTTTTAATTGTTCAAATACATTTGTCTCCATTTTCTCGCCACCACTTTCCCCTGCCCCCCTTCCCCCTCCTTCCCTCAATCCTTTTCCACTTTGGCTTTGTCCATGGGTCCTTTATACATGTCCCTTGACTTGACTATAAGTTTTTGGAAGATGTTATTTTTCAAGTTGAGGAAATTCCTTTCTTTTCCTAAGTGCTTTTTCTACATTGATTGACATGATCATGTGATTGTTCTTTAGCCTGTCAATTTAGTGAGTTACATTGATTTATTTTCAGATATTAAAACTGTCTTGTATCCCTGGAATAGACTCCACTTGATAATGATGTATAATTCTTACATATTACTGAATACTATTTGCTAATGTTGTTTTGAAGAGACTTGCTTCTATACTCATGAGGGATATTGGTCTGTAGTTTTCTTCTTTGTGTGTTACTGTCACATGGTTTTGACATCAAGATAACACTAGCTTCATAAAATAACTTGGGAAGTAGTTTCTTCTCTTCTATTTTTCTGGAAGAGATTGTTTAGCATAGGTGTTAATTATTTAACCTTTAGATAGAATTCTCCAGTGAAACCATGAGACCTGGAGATTTCTTTTTGGGAGTTTTGAATTCAATTCAATTCAGTTCAATTTTCCTAATAGTTAAAGGGCTATTAAAATCATCTATTTCCTGCCGAATGTTCTGGGAATTTGTGTTTGTCAGGCAATTGATTAGTTCCATCAAAATTCTCAAAGTGTGTAGT